ACTAGCCATCCTAAAACTCACTGGTCCACATCTCACATAAAGTCAACATTCATATTACCGGATAACTAACTATTCACAAATCCTCTACGCGCATCCAATACCGCTACACGAATCGGTCAGAGGACTACACGCAATCCGATCTCGACCTGGTTCGAACTCAGGCAAAGCTCAGGTGACGAAACAAGTCACGGACTAAAGTGACTACACGAATTCACTTTAACCCAACAACCAACCCCAGTGACTACACGAATTCACTGGCGCGAGCTGGAAGATACATCAACAGTCTTATCTGATCATATGAACATTAACTTCCCCATCCCAACTCTTCTCGTTTTTCTAAATCAACAGTCGTATTCCACACTGAAACTCTGGTTCACCACCTAACTCGGTCAACACACCCACACATGTCACTAAGTCTGTTCATGACGCACGAGGCCACTAAGTCATGAACTCTCGGTCAACACACCCACACATGTCACTAAGTCTGTTCATGACGCACGAGGCCACTAAGTCATGAACTATTAAGGGTTCTCAACACAACAAGGAACAATCAATGTAACTAATCATGAGCAATAATATCACAGCACATCACATAGTCATAAAGTATGAACAAAACTATGTAATTCATAAACTAACATTTTCCCAAAATAATTCATTTAAAAATTATTTCTCATTATAATTAATCTAAAATAATTCCTTTAAATTATTATAATTATCTTAAAAAGATTCTTTTGCCGAATTAAATTCTTTCAATTTATTATAATTATTCTAAAAATTCTATTTATCATATTACTATGATTTATTTAATATTCTTTATCCAACAATCTCACGCAGATAATTATATTACAAACTAATATATAGATAATTCCTAACAAGTATACAATTCAGATATGAGCAACAGGATCTTGCCTACGAGACCGTGGGGTCTGATGACGAGGCTACGATGCCGATGCGGACGCGACGTGTAGCGATCGAGGTGACGTTGACAGCGGCTTGGATCTGGTTTAGGCACGGTTGTTCAGCACGGTTGAGCTCGTCGACGGAGGGTGGCTAGGGCGATGGTCGAGCGGAGGAGGGGAAGGCAGGGGCGGCGCTGTCGACGACTAGACGACTCGGTGGGGCGCTTGTCTATGGGTGGGATCTGAGAGAGGGGGCATTGGCCCAGATCTGAGTGGAGAGGGGGCGGGTTGCGACGAAAAGAGGCTCGGACGTCAGTGTCAGGCGTTGGACGGCGAGGTGGAGGGCAGCCAGGGGAGGGCGCGACCGGTGGCGTTTTAGGAAGCAGATGAAGGGCGGGCGGGTGGTTGAGGCGGAGGCGGGCGTGGATTTGTAGGGGGCTGGCGGAAGCCTGAGGGGGTCGGTGCGGAAGCCAGGGGGAGGTGGGCGGAACGACGAGGGAGAAATCGGAAGGGAAGGCCGACGAGCGGTGGAGGAGGCTGGCGGAACCTCGGGGCTGGTCCTGGGCGAGCAGCGGGCGTTTGGTGGTTTTGCGGCGGTGGCAAAGGAGGGGTGGCTGGCGGGTCTCAAGGGCGGTGGTCGAACAGACGGCGCGCGGTCGAAACGTTCACCGAACGGCAGAGCGGCGAAGAGGGGCGGTGACGAGGGAGGAGATGGGGGCGGTTGTTGTTTGGGTTTTCTGGAATTGAGAGAGAACGAGAGAGAAGATGGAGGAGAGAGAGGAGATTGGTGTGTTGTCGAATTGTGATAGGGAGAGAGAAATGTATTATTGGAGAGAGAGAGAGAGAGGATTACGTGATAAAAATAGAATGCGGTTATGGGTGATTGGGGAGTGATTAGGGGTTGATTGGAAAATTGATTAGGGAAAATTTTGGAAGGAATTCAAAATGAGAGAAAATTTAGGGAAAAAAGATTATGGGAATATATTTGTTTATTTATTTATTCATAATATTTAAAAATAATTATTATAATAATAATTAAACATATAATAATATTAATAAATAATTAACAGCTAAATATTTATATATTTACATATGTACTAATGTACTAAGCTCAGGTTTACATTAATAATAACAAGGTCACTAATAATATTAGCCACCAAATGATTATATATAAAAAAATCACTAAAGCATAAGTTAATATTTAGCAGAAATAATAAATACAAGACTATATATTTTATTATTTATTTATTTTGAAAACTTAGAAAATTCCAGAAATTAGGAAAAAAATTAATAAAATATAATATAATATTTTAAATACTAGAAAAATTATTTAAATACGTATCGAAAAATTACGGTTGTTACATTAAGAAAATCTCTTGGTTATCCCTTGGGTACATCCCATTCTTAAGGTAACAAAATTTAAGTTATTAGAGGGTGAACTAAGGAGAACTAAATTGTTCTCAAAGAAATGAATGATTCACCTAACTTCCCTTAAACTTTATTCTACTCAATCCAAACAAGCTCTTAGGGGGGTTATTGGTTAGTGTAATTTTGAAGAAAGTAAGATAATTTTTGGGACTTTACTTTATGGTGTTATTCATTGAGATAATGAGTTTGAGATTTCACTTTAAGATGTTATTCACTAGGACAATAAAATTGGGACAATTAACCCCACTTTTCCCAAAATTATCCCACTTCTATACAAATTTTTTGTCCTAACTTCCAAAAATTACTTCATTCTCAGCTTTAGGACAATCATAAGAAAAGTGAAATAATTTTGAAGCACTAATTTACTAAATATGTAATATATATTAATTGTATTATAATATATAATATATTTTAATTATATTATATGATAAAATTCTATTATAATGTAAGATAATAAAATATTATATAATATTATCTAATATAACATTATTATATATCATTATTACATATTGGTTAATAATATTTCATATATTATAATATTAGTATGATAATATTATAATACTACTTGATATTATTCAGTATGTATTTTATTAGTTAGAATAAAAATATAGTATTGTAGTATTTTTATGATATAAAATATTATATTATAATATAGTGTTTATATATTTAATATAATAAGTATATTATAATATAATTTATTATATAATAATTTACTATTTTCTATTATACTTTATTATATTAATTAATAGTCTTAAATATATTTAACAAAAATATTATAATATTTAATTAATATTATATTATTAAAATATTATATTAAATATGTTGTTCGTGTATTACATCAATTATTATATAATATATCATTATATTATATTATGTTATATTAATTAATAACATTAAATATAGTTATAATTAATTAGTAATTATAATATAATATATTATAGTTTATTAAAGTAAAATAATGTATTATATTATAATGACATACCAAATAATATGCTAAACCAATTAGGTAAATTAATTTAAACTTAACTGATAGATAAATATTATACTTTAATAAGGTGTCACATCATTAATTATCCCAAATGAATAGTCAAATCAAAGCTTCAAATTGTCTCATTATCCTAAATTGTCTTACTTTACACCATTCAAAATACCCAAAGGGGGTGTTAGTCAATTGAGATATTTTCATGCAAAATAGAATAATTGTTAAAGTAAAAAAAATTTTCGCTAGTGGGATATTTTAGTAGGATAAATAGGAACAATTTTGTGAAGTAGAATATTTTGATGAAATAACGTGGGATAAATTTTTATAATCATGAAATATATATTTATGCATTTTGAAGATATAAATACTATTTATGTATTTTAAACTTACTATTATTGATTAATAATTGCTTACAAGAATGTTCTTTACTATTAAATAAATTTTAGTTAGGGGCTGTTCGTTTCGCAAAAAAAAAAGGAAATCAAAGAATAGGAAACCTATTTCCTATAATAATTGTTTTGAGGTTGTTTGGTTGGTTTAAAAAAGAAGGAAATTATAGAATAGGAGATGAGATGAGATGAGTTGTCACATTATTATTGGATGATGTGAGTGATTTTTTTTTAAAAATTGTTTGAGGTTGTTTGGTTGGTTTAAAAAATAAGGAAATGAATTGGAGGTATATTATTGGATGATGTTTTGAGGTTGTTTGTGTTTGGTTCATTTTTTTTAAATAAGAAAATAGATGAGATGAGATGAGTTGGAGGTATATTATTGGATGATGTGACACATACTTAAGAAAATTAATTTCTTATTTTTTTTGGGAAATGGATGGAAATGAAAGTTTAATGAGATGAGATGAGTTGTCACAATATTATTGGATGATGTGTGTGATTTTTAAAAATGAGATAAGATGAGATGTGATGAGTTGGATGATGTGACACATTTCTTGTGTTTGGTTTATTTTTAAAGGTAAGAAAGGAGATGAAATGAGATGAGTTGGATGATAAAATAATATTTTATTGGATGTTATGGGTGAGTTTTAGGGATGGAAATGGATAAAAATATTATTTTATTGATTTCCTTGTACCGATTTTCTTTTCTTTGATTTTAGGAAACCAACGAAACGGACCCTTAAATTATAAGATATTGATAATTATTATTATAATGATGGTATAATAATGGTGATAACCACAATAGGAAAGAAGTAAAGAAAAAAAAGAAATATAAAAAATAAAAAATAACAAAATAAATATAAGTTCTAGTTTTTTACAACCTAGTTCCAAGCTAAAACTTAGAATAGTTTGAGAGACTAGAACTTTCATTTTTGTATAGAAAAATAAAAAAGCGGGATAATTTTGTACCATTATCCCAATTCTAGTTTTGTTAGATCATTTTTGTATAGAAAAATAAAAAAGCGGGATAATTTTGTACCATTATCCCAATTCTAGTTTTGTTAGAGTTCTACTTGACTAACACTGTAAAATTTTGTTCTAGTTTTAGTTCTATGTGACTAATACCTTAAAAATTTATCCTACAGATTATCTCAGTTCTAATTTTAAGTTCTAGGTGACTAACCCCCCAAAGAGATAAAACTATTCCATTATGGAGAGAGGAAATTAGTTTTTTTTTGAATTTTTTTATTTATTTTACTAAGCATTAAATATTTAGTAATCTTATGAGATTCACATTTCTCTGTTTCTCTCTCTTGATCTTCCCCCTAAGCTGGTGATCAAAGGCGATGGGGATAGAGGGAGAGGGCTAATTCTTTAATCTCGTAGAGATTTCGCTTCTTGAGATTTAAATTGATAGGGAGAGGGAGAGAGAGAGAGAGAGAGAGAGAGGATATGTGTGATTTAGTGGCCCGCACGGGTCGGCATCAGCAGCGATACGAGAATGGATATCGCCTTGTCGCCGGGTACAAAATCTTTTCTTTTTTCTTTTACAACATTTTTGGGATTATTATTGATTGATTGTTTGTTTTGTGTCCTTTATTATTTTTCAGTGAAATTTTTGGGCGTACCCTTTTCATGATTGACAATGTATGGGTAAAATGAAACAAGAAAAGGGAATAATGAAATCGAAATCACATTGCTCTATGAATGGATTTGGATTTTGAGCCTTTTTGAGTTATTTGCATTTTAATACCCTAAAGATTGGGCCTTTTCTAACTTCAATACTCTGAAATTCTATTTTGACAAAAGTGCAGAAAAGTTGATCTTAATTTTGTTTAAGAATATGGACGTAGAAAAGGAAAGTGAAGAACAAAGTTAGGGCTCTGGGGTATTAAAATTGTTGAATTAACTTCAGTTTGAAAATTTTCGGGGTATCAAATTGTCAAAATAGAACTTCAAGGTATCGATGATAAAACGGTGGAACTTTGGGGTTAAAACGGTGAAACTTTGGGGGTATTAAACTGCAAATTATTCTTTTTGTGTTAAAGTAGGGTCTTGAACATTGCTCTTGTTGTTATGATATGCCCTTAAAGAGGATGACTGATCAGAGCATATCTAATATCTTTATGGGAAACATTTGCACATTTTGCATTATTATGTTGAGCCTAGAGACTTCTTAAATGCTATATCTTATGATGAATGAAGAGTAGCAACAATTCATATATACAATAAAGCTACCTTCAGTTTAGAATAACAGCTTATGATGAATGCCTCCACTTCTCTATATGGAATCAGGTGCAATCCTATTCACCTTTTTGATCTTCTGTGTTTATTTTCCTTTGATTTCTATTTTTTTAAATAATTTGGGCATGGACAGTTTTGGTTTATTTGAAACAGAAATCACTTTGCACTGTTCTCCTCAATTTATTACCACATGATGCTCATTTGACTATGTAATTTGTACATTCACTATTGAGCAGTCGTCGGATCGTTATCTGATTATCATACATTGCTTTCGGTATTAACTAGTAAGCTAGTGTATGATAAATAATGTGGGGATAGTATTGTAATTGAATTGCCAAGAAAATGGATGGATATAATCTGTTAGGATTTAAATGTTTTTTCTCTGGCCCGGAGTTGCTGCACAATCTCTTGAAACATGTAGTAAGTTGTAATGTTAATATAATTTGTAAGGATTTAATTTGCTTTTTGCAACTTTACCCCTAACTTTAAGTTTCAAGTATTAAGAATATTTAAGGGCCACAATCTCTTGAAAAGTGTAGTTAATGGTGTTGTTAATAGAATTTGTAAGGGTTTAATTTGTTTTTTACAAATTTGTCCCTAACTTAAAGTTTCAAGTATTGATAATATTTAAGGGTGTTTTAAGATTATCAAAATTGGGGAGAACATGACCAAAACTCTACCTTTTCTTAATTAATAGTAATAGAAATGGTGTTTTACAAGCATTTTGTTACAGCATGTTAAGAATTGAAAATTTGCATGTAATTGTATGATAAAACTATAGGATGTGTAATAATAGAGATTACTAAGTTATTATCTGTTTTCAGGTGTGTCCCATTCAAATATTTTAGCTGTGATGAAAATTGCAATATCAGAATGAAGAAGATCATAAAAGTTCTTATGATCAATTCACCAAGTGGACCTGGCCTTTTGTTTCCAAAGGTATGACTGTTGCTAAAAGTTTCAATTGTGTAAGCAGGATAAGAACTAATACATATCTGTTGATTTCAAAGCTCATACTGAGCCTAGGATTTCCTGCTATTATAATTAACTTGTTGAATTTTACTCAAAACACAAAGTGTTTGGAAAACAGAATCTATATCATCTGTATCCTTCTTCTAGACTTCATAGTCTAGGGATTTTCGGAGGTGTTCCCTGTGACGCCCCTGGGTTCACACAAGACTGCAGTCCAAGGCGAAACCAAGAATGTCAAACCTGCCATGCACCACACCGTGCAATAACATGTTTCACCATCACAATTAACATCTGTCTAGTAGAGTCAACATCTGGGGTAGGTACAAAACAGGCAAAAGATAATACAAGATATACTGATGAAATGATAGTAGTCACATAAATATCTCATCATCCAACATACAGAAATACATAGTCATGCTCTGAGTAGATAAACTGGAATACTCAACAAGTCTCAAATACAAATGTCTGACAAGAGGAAATAAGGCACACCGCCTTTACAACTTCTAGAATAAGACTCAAATACCTAAACAAAAGTCTACTGTGGAACTCCAAAAGAAAATATATCTAAGTAAACAGCTGAAGCTAAAATGCCTCGCCATCAACCTGCGACTCTCCGGGCTCCTGGCTCGTTACCTGAAAGGGGGAGGGACAACGAGCGTCAAAGCGCTAGCGAGTAACATCACAACCAACCCCAAGGGAACATGGCTCGTTGTATAAGAAAATACAGTTATTATATAAGAGCTCTAAAATCATTGATCTTACTATAGAGGGTTTTAGTATTTAGAAATTTACAACACGAGCATATGTACGTCGAGCGAAATAATCCAAATAAGGAAACCCTCATGTATATACCTTGTATCTCAAATTGTAAATCTCTAAACACCAAACCCGAGGTTCTAGTACAGAAAACAATAATAAAAGAAGTACAACTAATCTCAGAACATAAGTACAGTGCCAAGTCAAAATCTACATAACTCCCATGTCGTGATCTGCTGTGAGATAGTCATTTGCAGGGTTAAGAAACTATGTCCAAAACATGAACTATATACTGTGATTTCCAAACTCTTGGAATAGGTGGCAGATGTTCAACACGAAGGCTGAAATAGATTATAGTCCAACACGAGGACTGAAATAGATTATAGTCCAACACAAGGACTTCTATAGATTATAGTCCAACACGAGGACTGTGAAATTGTGCAACGGTCGCTGAGATATATAGAATAATCTACCTATACCAATCCATACTCAAATCAGTATGTAAGTCCCTAATTTATACCCTCAGGTCATCTATCATGCATGGACACATAGTAAGACTAAATACCATTGTCAGATAAACCAGGTAATCACTCGAACCTGAACGAATATTCAAGAATGCACAAAACAGGGAAAAAGCAACAGAGAGAACGGCGGTCGACCGCACCGGTCGACCGCNAATATTTCAAAATACATGAGAAACAAATTGAAACGTTTTAATGACAGTAAAACATGGTTAAACTCTTGTTTAAGAAAGTCAGATCTAGATCTTCATTAGACAAAACGTTGGTGAACTTTCATAAACTGAAATATCGATTCTTGCAATCCATAATGTAAAGAACTCATTTTTATACGAAAATACCTGTTGGGCTCTTCAAAAACTCATGAAAAATCAAAATAAAACCATAGAAAATAGGGGTGAGGGATTGGGCGAGATGATACTCGTTTTAGATGCTGACAACTGCTCTGGAGATGATCCTCCTTTGCTCAGATCTGCGAAAATCCCCTGGAACTCCTCCAAACTCCTCAAATCACCAGGTCCAGCTAGGGTTTTTGAGAGAAGAGAGATGGGGGCTAGGGTTTTAGGTCTGAGGTGAAAAATAGGAGCTCTCCTGGGTTGGAATAGTATAAGTACCAATTCCCTAACCCGACCCGAAACCCAAAAGACCAAAACAAAAACCCGTAAAACCCAAAACCTGAAACTCTCTAATACGCTGTTCGGTCGACCGGTGCGGTCGACCGCCACGGTCGACCGCGTCTGTCGACCGCGCAGCGGTAAAATGCCTGCTGCTAGGCATTTTACATGCTGGCCTTAACATCGATTTCTCTCACTTATATACACCTGTTGGGTTCCCAAACACTGATAAATATATACATCTTATATATATATGGTTATTCATCATAAGAGAATTATTCACTATTAATAATTCACATATATTCATTATAGAATTTTCGGGGTTTTACATTCCCTTGGTTGCATGAGCTTAAACCAGAAGAAACGTTAATGAGGTACACCAGTTGGGCTATAAAATTTTGTGGCTAACCTTTCTCTTATTTTATAATTTCCTTGTCCAGGCAATTTATCACTTCTTAAGATGTAGATGTAAGGCTAGCAACTTTCGTAAAAAAATTGTAAATCTTTTCATTAAGAAGACATGGATAATTCAAGTAGATATTGATAACAATGATGGTGGTGGTGATGATGGTAAAACCTTTTATTATATCATCATTGATGTTTTAATAGAGGAATTTACTATGGATATCTGTATGGGCTCTAAAGACAAGGAAAAAAAAAAAAAAAAAATATATATATATCTATAATATATATATATATATATATATATATATAAATAATAATATATATGTAGAGAGAGAAGAGAGAGAGAAGAGAGAGAGAGAGAGCCAAAACTGTGTGTCAACTTAAGTGCGATAGCAAAAAGTTATCCACCAAATTTTTTAGCCACTCATATTGCCTAGGGATCCTTGCATGATATGAAAAGATTTTTTATATTAAATAATGAGTGGCTAGGAAGTTTGGTGACATCAACTTAAGTTGATAGAAGTCTTTCTCTCTCTCTCTCTCTCCTCTCTATATATATATATATATATATATATATATATATATATATATATATATATATATCATATCATATCATATCATACTCCCTTTAAAAGAGGGAGTTGTGAAAAAACTTTTCAAGGACTATATTACCCCTATTATTTTTTGTTATTATATTCTAATACTAACTAAACTAAATTAATTATTATTGTTAATTAATTATATTATATGTCACTTTAAGTTTGTATAATTTGGTCCCTAAAACTTCTAACATTATTGTAAAACTATACATCATATTAATTATTAGTAATGTATAATAATATATTAATAGATAATTGCATGTCAATAAACTATTTATAGAAAGAGTAGAAAACATAGAACTGTCCTAAAATTATAGCATGAAACTCATATAGAAAAATTACAAGGAGCACTTTTATGTTTAGGTAACAGGACATAATGTACAAACATTAAATTTTAGAAAAAATAAGATATTTAAGTGCAACAAGATACGTTATCTAAAATTAAAAAAAATACAGCAAAATACAAGTGGAGGTATATAAGTATACTTTTGGTAAACTACAAGGTATTTAAGTTCAGTTAAGCCTATAAAAGATTTAAAACCTTTGTTATCTACAAACAATAGTATATGATCCCATTGATAAATAATATTCATCATACAATATGAAGCTAGATGCTTAGCTTATATAGCTTATATTTATATAGTAGAGGAGATGTGGAAAAATTAAAGCATCATATTTTGAATGAGTCCCAAAATTTTGAATTATTTCCTGAAATTATATACTTCACTTAGAAAATTTTAGAAGAGGCTTTTAAAGGACTACTATAAAATGTTGGACATCAAAAAAATATTGAACAAATAAAATTCATGATATCGAATTGCAAAAATCAAGAATATGTATGTAGTACTAGGTTTCATATGAGATAATATTCATACATAACATGATATTGTAATATATAATCTAACATATTAATAAATTTTAAACATAAGAATTTGCATCAAGACATATGCTTAAGATTTGGGAGAGCCAAGAGTGGAGAGATTTGGAGAAGAACTGTGTCCTTTGTAGGTTTTATGGGTTCTGACTTTGCTTTCCAAATACAATCCGAACCTGAGTCCACACTCAAATTAAAAATGACATAATTTTCTTGATATCTTCAAAGGGATATATTGGCCATATTTTCAATGACGGTCGATATATCAAAAATATCACCAAACAAAAGAAAACAATATGAAAATATTACTGAGATAAAATCTTTAACCCAATATATTGACCGATATAGCAATATATTGGTCGATATTTAATAGAATGCCTATAAGAGCAAATATGTAAAGATTATTTAAATATTAGTTCCTTAATTTTAAGTATCCAATGATTCTATATTATTCCCTCAAAAATTTGAATTGCTCATAATTTTAGGGGCTAATATTAAATTATTAAAAATTTGAGGGACAAACTATAAATAAGTCATATTTAAAAGAAGAGTTAATTTTTAAAAAACCCTCCCAACTATGGAGATTGTCTTAAAAAACCCACTCAATTGATTCGGTTTGACAAAACCCCATTATTATGGGGGGTGTTATTAATAAACCCTTTTAATTTTGGTGCAATTTTTAGACAACATCTCTCAACTATAGTGTCTCATAAATACACCCCTAATTTTTAACACTTCTATCAACAAACCTCCTTAACATAGTTACTTCATTATGTGATTTGAACAAAATACCCTATTGAAGAAATCCTTAACCGATAATAAAGTGACCACAACTAATTTATAATTCTTTTTTGCTCTATATCACCTCTTTTTCTTCATATGGCAAAAATCAAGGTAATACTTTTATGATTGATTGATATTTTGGTCTTTTCAAGTCAAATATTTATCACATAATAGATAAGACTCAATGATATTAGTTTTGAGAGGCTAGATTCAAGTTAGAAAAGTCCACATGGGTTAAATCAATTTTTATAAGTTGGGATAGATTACCTACAAAACACTCAAAACTTGGTAGAGATTTACTTAGTTTTAAATAGTTTTTTTTTTTTTTTTTGGGGGGGGGGGGGGAAAGGGGGGGGGGGGGAGGATTGACATGCCCCCATAGTTGAGGGGAAGTTTTCCAAAATTAACCCTTAAACAAAAGCACAAGTTAAGACACGTGTGACATTAATTTTATAAGAATGAAATTTATAGTAAGTTTATCACTCAATGAACTGGTTTGCGTTATTTGTCCTTAAGTTTGTCCTACACATCAACTCTGAAAATCTTTTGCTATAAAAATTTCTAAAAGTAATTTAATATTTATTTGGGATGGGTGTATGATCCTTTTGATTCCCCTTGTCTTTCATGGTTTGTAATAAATTATTTGACAAAATAAATTAAGTTATCATTTTATATTGCTCACCTTCTTATAAGTTTATGAAGCTCATAGCTTGGATATGAATATTATTATAGATATTGTATTCTTCTAAGTCTTTAAGCTAAATTTTTGGACATTGTTTGACATTGGATAGATATGAATTATTTTGTTAAAATACAATCAAGATGAGTGCATAATATATATAAGTCATTCTTAAACTATATTTTATGATTTTCTAAAACTAGAGAGTAATCGTTTTGACAGATCAATTAGTAGTTGGGAGGATGTAAAATGAGTACAACATCAGATTTTAGAATTGATCACATAATTTATATTTTCTTTCTTGATTGAATTTGCACATTCTAATTTAGAAAATTCTAGAAACAAGTTATTGAATATTTATAATACTCGATCGCTAGATAAACAATAGGTGGAAGTATATAACATGTGGAAGTGATTTTTTTTATAACTGAACGAGATCCTTGACTAGATAAAACCTACCACATTTCTGTGATTAATTCAAGAATTTTTTTATTAATAATAATAGGATTTTTCCGTATTGGTCCCTTACATCATTAATAGTTTGAAATTATACATTCAAAATATTAACTAATCTTAAACCATTAATATTTTAAGGGTTTAAACATCACTATTTCTCTGGAAGACAAAATGTTAAAACCACACATTGAAATATCAAAAAAATTTAATATATCATGATAATTATAAAGTTTTATGCAACTATGTTATAGTAAATAAATAAACTTAAAGTAAATAATTATGATATTTGACCACGTGCAATGCACATGCATTCCACCTATCTTAAGAATATTCATTTAGGTGTATCATTTATTCATTTTTCCACTCTACCCTTTACCAGTTAAGCAGAAGTGAGTAATTCTATTATAGCACTAACTTATCCTGCCATCATCTTCACACAGGGAGGATGGGAAAATGACGAAACTGTTGAAGAAGCTGCTGTACGAGAGGCCATTGAAGAAGCAGGAGTTAGAGGAGATTTAAAGGTAATTTTGATACAAATAATGTTGATAAGCATTTGAGTCGTAATGCAATTAGTACTTTGGAGAAAATACATCTACTTATGCTGCAGAAAAGTTGTACAAACTAACATATAATTTTGGCATGAATAACCAACATAAGCCATCATTGTTATTTTTTATATATCCAGTCTATTGCATTTATGCGCATTATGGTGTTAGACTATTATTAATTTTCTTTTTCTTGGTCTTATAAACTTATGGTCAATCCTACTGTAAAAGAACTGTTACAACTGTATTTACCATTGATTCAATAGTTTATAAATATATCTCTACTGAGCTCAAAAGTTTATCACTATATGTGGTCTTTGTGACATAGATTATAACGTAGTGTTCAGATTTTTGGTAAATCAGTACCGATCAACTCTTGGATTACTTTTTTTTGGTTAATTCACTCTTGGATGACATGTTGATCATGCAGAATTTGGTTTTCTCCCAAAAGAAACTGTGGGCAGAATAATTACAGTTCAGGAGATTTAGGACAATATCAAAATTAGTCGATGCAAAATAAAATCAATGCCAATTGGTAGACAGAATAATGACTGTTCAGCATATTTTTTGCATGCATCTAAAATTGCCAAACTTTTAACTCACTCCTGAGCTTATTCCTATTAAAGATTTTCTGTAAGGATTTTGTATTGCTTGGGGCCCCTATGGTTCGCTTAAACCAACAAAGAAGTGGCTTAACCCATGTGGGCTAATATGCAGATATTTTTATTCTGGATATTTTTATTCAGCCCTACTTTCAAAACAAGTAGCTGTGATATCCATGGTTCCAGAAAATATTCGGGTAAAAAGGGTTAGTCCAGGCTAAGTATAGAGAACTCTTGATAGATACATGCTCAGATAGATTATCATCTGAATAATCAATCTGATCAATACTACATAAACTGTTACCTATAATTAGAGGATATTTCATAGACTATGGAATTAGCACAATTTCATTAGCATATGACAAGTGAATTAAAGAGGCTGGGTACCCCTTAAATTGGATTGAGAAGAACCAGATTGTTGGTCCTATACCATTGTCACTGGAATATTATTGGAGTAAATTTCACAAAACCCCTGAGAAGTTTGGCCCATGTTGAGATAAACTCCTAAAATTTGGGAACATCACTTAACCCCCAAAAGGGCGAAAACTTTGCATTTTTCTGAATCTATTTTCAGATAACCCCTGTTATTTCAAAAGGCTTAAGGGGATGAATGGCATTTCCAAACTTTTTGGGGGTTGTCTCCAAAAGGGCCAAACTTGGAGGATTTTGTGAAAATTACCCATAGTATTATCCACTATTTGTTTTCCGACTTCAGTCACCACCATTAGCAAAATCTATATCATGATTATCGGGATTGAGATTTATATTGCATGATGGTCAATCATATTTCTCTTTCGAGTGTGTGTTCAAAATTGAGCCTAAGAAAATCTGACTCTATTTTTTAGTTACCTCTTTTCTCCGAGATTCTAATAAGCTGTACCAGTATAACTCTTTTGTAACTGCTCTCATCACCTCAGAAGTACTTGAATGACTACGACTTCAGAAGCAAGAATCTCCAGGACGAGTTCAGCCCTGAAGGATGGTGCAAAGCATCGATGTTTGCCTTGTATGTGAATGAGGAGCTCGACTCATGGCCAGAGCAAGAAAAGCGCGAGAGAAAATGGCTTACGATTCCAGAAGCCTCTCAACTTTGTAGGCATAGCTGGATGAAGGATGCCCTTGATAAATTTGCGGAGTATTATGATACTGATGATGATAATGATGATCCTCCAGGAAGATAACAGACAGGATCATACATCCAACAAATTTCTTTCTCTTTTATGTGTTTAAAGAGATAGAATATCGGTATTGACTCTTCAAATGTTTGAGGTTTTCACTGATGCGAGTCGGTCAGGTTTCTTTTAGATTATTCTGACTTTCTCTTATGTGATTTTATTGGCTGGGAATTCACTTATTGAAGTAACTTTTACCAAATTGTGCATATATAGATATTTTTGCAAATTGTTAAAAAAAAACTTTATGTGAAGAACTATCGAAGCTTTAATTACCAATCTGCAGTATAGAAAGTCTCAAGTTTATTATTGCTCATTTGCCAATGACACAGTGGATTATTCGACTCTTTCAGTCTTTTGTGATACATATTGGCAATTGCTCATTCATCTAATGCCGCAGGATTTTTGTAGTTGGAAAACAATATTATGGTGCTTCTCTAAACTAGTCTTGTTGAATGCCCACTGTTGTCTATCTTGACAAACTTATTCTTGGTTATACAAGGCTGGAGAGGGTTATATGAGGTCACAAGTGCCAAAAAAAATTCATATGAATGAAAAAATGTAAATAAATCATGGGTTCTCTTATCTTTGCAATTTTCTTGACTTGATTAGAAGAAAAGCTCTCTCATGAGACTGACTTTCTAATTTCCTGTCATAACTGATTTTACTTCTTAGATTATGTTATAGATGTGGTTATTGCCAGGTTCTTAATGCTTAGTGTTTCGTACTAAATTTTTTTTTGTGAAGAACTTGTAGTTTCCGGAAAATAATTTAAGTTCATTGATGATGAAATATTTACCTTAAACTTTTGTAGGTTATGGAAAGGAACTATATGGCAACAAAGACGAAAAAGTTTTGGGAAAATTGCTTCCAGCTCCCAAAACAATCCAACAACGTTGCTCTGCCCCCCACCCCCCCCCAACTTTCCATGTCCCTTTACCCCCAAAACCTCGCCCCCCGCTTCTTCTCTCCAGCCCCCCAAAACAAATCCCCAGGCCTAACTCCGTTTAAACCCCGCTCGAAATACCCAAAATATCCTTCGCAGCCTATGTTCGTCACCCTCTCACGACGGAAACCCATCGTTTTGACTGTAGGCATTAAATGGTGATTAGAATGACTTTTTTTGGGGGGGAATTCCCATTTCTCTCCAAAATTATCACCAGATATTATCACCAGCTATATTCCCCTTCAAGCTAAGTTGTTCCTTCCACTTAATTCTCCTCAATAAAAGCCTCTTCGATTATTCAACTACTCCCTGTAATAAAATGGCGGATGGATCTCTTCTATGTGTGGTAACGAAGGCAAAAAGCAACAAAGGTGGTGATGGTGTATTCGTCGTTATCAAAGAGAATACAGAAATAATCAGCTTGAGATATCGAGTGGCGGAAATGCTTAAAATACCAATGCAATCTCTTTCACTGAAGTTTATATGCGAAAGGGAAAAGAAATTCAGTATTTCAATTGACAATGACGACAACTTAAATTTGATGTTCGAGTATTGTCGGCGTAATGGATTTACAGACGCGAATTTGTATGCTACCTCCGCTGGGGAATCCTCAACGTCGCAGAACACGCAGACTACGCCGGATACTGCGTAGGAATTACACCCCAGATTTCCTTTTGAGTTTACTGATAGGTTTTTCCATTAGTTGTTAACCTCATGCATTGGTTGCTTAGGTAATGTGTTGGTTGTCAAGGTTATGTTAAGCACTGGTTGTTAAGGTTATTTGTTAGCTGTTACGTATACTGGTTGGTTCCTAAGATAAGGTGTTTGATGTTAAGTATATGCGTTTGTTGTTAAGGTCACGAGTCTGCCCTTAAGTATAAGGGTTAGTTGTTAAGGATATGTGTTGGCTGTTACGTTTATGAGTTTGTTGTTAAGGTTATCAGTTCGTCGCTAAGGCTACGTATTTTTATTACTACTTCAGGACAATACCGACAGAAAATTCGCGGTGCGCAGATACCACGTTCACCCAAACCTGTAATGATGAGCGTATTCCTAATGACAACCCCACCGGCGACTCGATCATGCTGCTGGAAGACATGCTTAATCACCAAACAAAGATCCCAACTGAGTGGCACACCTCCATACGTGAAGTTGGTCAGAAATTTGATAGTGCTGCTGAAGTTAGATTAGCACTTCAATACTATTCAATTGCTAAACGGTTCGAGTATGATTTTTACCACAATGAACAAAGACGCATAAGAGTCTATTGCCGATTCAAACACACACATGGTTGCCCTTGGATGTTGTTTGCTTCCCCGCTCAGAAATTCGTCTATCATGTCCATAAAGAATTTCGAGTCTACCCACACCTGCGGTCAACATGGAGCAAATGCTGGCAACTCAAGGGCATCAAGGAAGTTCATTGCTAACCAAATACAAGCTATTTTGAAGGTTAGGCCAGATCTTCGTGCGGTCGATATCAAGAACGATATGCTTTCTAATTTTGACATCAAGATTAACTACAGTAAAGCGTGGTGGAGCAAGGAGACAGCTCAACAGGACCTGTGCGGTGACGATGATGAGGCTTACGATTCACTGAGATGGTCCTTATCTTTTTTATTCTTCTAAAATCACTCTTACGTTTTGGTTGCTAACTATACGTAGTAGTTGTTAAAGTTATTGGTTCGTCGCTAAGTGTACGGGTTGGTTGTGAAGTTTGAAGATCAGTTGTTATGGTTATGAATCCGTTGCTAAATCTACTGCTTACGTTTTCGTTGCTAACTATACGTATTAATTGTTAAAGTTATTGGTTCGTCGCTAAGTGTACGTGTTGGTTGTGAAGTCTGAAGATCAGTTGTTATAGTTATGAATCCTTTGCTAAATCTACTGCTTACGTTTTGGTTGCTAACTATACGTATTAGTTGTTGCTAAATCTACTGCTTACGTTTTGGTTGCTAACTATACGTATTAGTTGTTAAAGTTATTGGTTCGTCATTAAGTATACGTGTTGGTCGTGAAGCTTGAAGATCATTCGTTATGGTTATGAATTCTTCGCTAAATCTACTGCTTTGTTGTTATATTCATGCAGGTATGAATCCATGGTGCATGCAACTAATCCAGGGAGTCGTGTTGTTATTGATGCTGATGACGGGAGGTTCAGGCGATTGTTCATTAGTTATAATGCCTGTATTGAAGGGTTCATTGCTGGGTGTAGGCCTCTATTATTTTTGGATGGAACATTTATTAAAGATCGTTACAGAGGCATACTACTTAGCGCTACTGGGTATGACGGTAACAAGAGAATATTTCCCCTAGCTTATTGCGTATGCGACCAAGAGAATGAGGTTAACTGGAAATGGTTCTTACAAGGATTATGGACGTTACTGTATGATAGGGAAAATCCTTACCAACCTCCACATCGACTGGTAATGATTTCAGACGCCGACAAGGGTATCAGGGTAGCAGTCGAGGAATTCTTTCCAGATGCATTCCATTCAAGGTGTGTTCTGCATCTAGTCGAGAATTTCAAAAAAAAGATGAAGGATTTTGGGCACAAGGCAAATATCGCGACTACGTTGGGCGAGCTGTTACAATCTGCGGCTTATAAGTTCACAATATCTGAATGGGATAATGACATGAAAGAATTGGCAGCGATCGATCACAGGGCTTACGTCACTGTAATGGAATACTCCCCGGAGAGATGGGCAAACGCGCATTTTCCTGGTATAAGGTAAGATAGCTTGGTCCCAACGTTATTTTGTTACAACACTGTTATAGTTGTTTAGGTTAGAGTTATCCTACAGTTTTTTGTTAAGGTTAGATTTTTATTGTTATGGTTAGAGTTATTCTGCTAGGGTTTTGCTGTTAAGTTTAGGATATTTGTTGTTAAGGTTAGGCCTTTAATGTTTAGTTTATGGTTTTATTGTTAATGTTAGTGTTTTGTTGTTAAGGTATGGCCATGTTACTTCAAACGTTGCTGAGTCCTTCAACAGCTGGATAAGAAAGGCACGATTGTTGCGAATCTTACCTTTGGTTGAGACCATACGGAAGCAAATAATGGAGCGCATGCATGAAAGGAGGCTATTGGGTCAGAAATGGTCTGGATACTTATGCCCGGAAGCGGAGATGGTGCTGAGTGATAACATTCAGCATGGTAGCTGCTTGGCGATTAAACATTCGACGGAAGATATTGTGGAGGTCGAGTCCAATAAAACTTGCCGCGTAGATTTGAAGAATCGGACTTGTTCTTGCAGGTCCTGAGACATCCTTCGCATTCCCAGCAAACATGCGTGTGCTGCAATTTCATGGATGAGACGAGAAATTTATCAATATTGCGATTGGTACATGACTGTTGACGCATTCAGAGCAAGCTATGCACCGATCATCTATCCCATTCCAGATTACGAGAAGCGCTTTGTACCGCCAGAAGAGCGAGTGTTGAAGCCTCCTCTCACCAAAAAAAGACGTGGCAGACCATGCACTAGACGAATAAACAACAGGTCGCTGAACACCTGACTTGTTAAGTGCTCTCGATGCAACATGGAGGGTCACAATCGTGCAAGCTGTAACGAGCCTGTATAGTTTAGCGTTTTATTATCATGTATATGAATTTGTTGTCAGGTATATCATTACAAGTGAGAAGGTTATGACTTGGCTGCTAAGGTTATTACTTGGTTTTCAATCTTATCACTTTAATATTGAAGTTTTGACTTGGTTGTTAAGGTTATTATTTGCTTGTCAAGTTTCTCACTTAAATGTTGAAGTTTTAAGTTTTGACTTGGTTGTTAAGGTTATTATTTGCTTGTCAAGTTTCTCACTTAAATGTTGAAGTTTTGACTTGGTTGTTAAGGTTATTACTTGGTTGTATTTGCTTGTCAAGTTTCTCACTTAAATGTTGAAGTTTTGACTTGGTTGTTAAGGTTATTACTTGGTTGCCAAGTTTATCACTTTAATGTAGAAGTTTTGACTTGGTTGATAGGTTTATCGATTGTATGTTAAGTTTATTGTTATACACCTGTTATCCACCTGCTCTTTGCTGTCAATATCATCGATTGTTAAAATTGTCAAGTATATCATTAAAATTGTTAGGTTTTATGGCTTGGCTGTTAAGGTTATTACTTGGTTTTCAATTTTATCACTTTAATGTTGAAGTTTTGGCTTGGTTGTTAAGGTTATTACTTGGTTGTCAAGTTTATCACCTTAATGTTAAAGTTTTGACTTGGTTGTTAATGTTATTATTTGATTGTTAAGTTTATCACTTTAATATTGAAGTTTTTGATTGGTTGATATGTTTATCGATTGAAAGTTAAGTTTA